ACCTGTAAAAGTTGTAGACTAAGAGAGGCCTGTGGCTCTTGCCAATGTATTAAACCTTTAAAGCAAGATTTTGAAAATTTCACATTGAATTGCAGCATGATAAATTGTAGTTTGTTCCTTGTGTTGATTAACTGCACATTTATCTGGCTTACTAGCTGAGATTTCTGTGCTTTTGAATGGTTTCCTTTTCCATCATCACAAATGCTATTTGCAACATTTTTTTCTGGAATCACAACTTGTTGCCTCAGATCCAGCAGTATCTCCATACTGAAGGCTTGCCAAGTTTTTGCAGGCTACCAGCTTTAAACCTATATAAAAAAATTAACTACATGTTTTTTTTTTGTTTGCCCAGGAAGGGATCAAAATAAAATCACACAGTGCCCACCATATGCAGGTTAGCAGAATTTGCTTGATTTTTCATTAGTTAAAGTTAAATAAAGAAGTGCCAGATAGGTTCTGTAAAAGAAGTGTGATCCTCACCACCCAGTTTTACTGACTGCTCACCTCTCAGTGATGCATAATGTCAAGCAATAAAGGCAAAACTCAAATCCTTTAAATCAGAAGGATTGTACAGGTTTGGATTGATAATTTGAATTAAAAAAAGAATTCTGGCAGTAACGGGGCTAATACCTTCAAAGACATCTACAAAGTCTAAAATTCAGTTGCAATAGTTGGGGATATTTGCAGAGTGACAATACTGTAATGGAAATCTAATGCTTAAGTATTTTTTACAGGCAAAATGTTTTCAAAGCATTATTCACTCACCAACAAAAGAAATGTAATTTCTAACAGATTTGGTGACAATAAATGGAAGCATGTTCGTAAATTATTAGTTTAAAAACAATCCTGTAAAATATTCTTAATAACATTCTTTCTTTTTCCTCGGTAATTAATTCTTGCATATTTTCAGAAGTATTTAATCACTTTTCAATATTCTATTTAATAGTCTCATGCCATCTGGTTCCTGATTTTAGCAGGCAGTAATGTGTCAACCCTTCTCATTTTTGGACATTGTTGTTTAGGTAATAATTCTAGATGATAAAATTCTAGACTGAGCAAAAGATAATTTGCTGACAGGACCTGAGTATATGGCATAATCCCAAATCTCCTCTCATTCATTGATTGAAATACAATTTTAAAAATTTCTGATTTAAATACAATTTAAACAAAAAAATTGAAAGCACTATCAAAAGTTGCAACCTGTACCTCCTAGAAGTACAAGGTCAACAGAAACATAAGAACATCACCACAAGCAAGTTTCCCTCCAAGCCATACACCACTGTAATTTGGACCTAAATGCCATTTTGTTCACTATTGCTGAGTCAATATGATTGAATTCCCTTACTAACAGCACTGTGGACACAGCTATATCACCTAGATGCAGTGGTTCAAGAAGGCAGCTCATCACTACCTCTCAAGGACTTTTGGGAAGGTGAATAAATACTGCTCTGGAACAATATCTACATCCCACAAATGAATAAAAATGTATGTAGCTGTTGAATTATAATACCTTTGTCCACAAAGTAGGTAGAATTTAGTAGAACATTTGAATTACGGAATAATTGGGGGAGGATGAAATAAATATGCAAAAAGAAATAAACCCAATGCATTTCTTAACTGTTCATCATGGGTGTTTGCATCCAGGACAAGATGACATCGTTTAAAAATTTAGGGTCTGTCCTTTCAGGACAGGAATTACATTTTTTTTCTTGAGGGTTGTGTGACCTTAGAACACTCTGCCTCAGAAGGTGAGAGATACAGGTTCATTAATATTTTTAAGGGAGAGGCATTGGGCAAGGGAATCAAAGGTTATCGGGATAGGTGGGAATATGGAATTCAAAACACAAACAATCAGCCATAATCTTTGTCAAAAAGTGGAGCAGGCTGGATGAGCTGAACAGGCGACTTCTGCTCCTAATTCATGTGTTCATATGACATCCTGTTTATCTCACTGTGCTCCCTACACACACATTTGAATCAAATCATCAGCAGTTGTTTGCTTTGGAAAGGTTTATTGCATTGTATGTACAACTAAACTTGATTACCTTTGGAGGAAAATTATAGCAAGTACACTTTTTACCATTTTAAAGTCATGCATGTGACAAGTAAGTGGATGTGAAGCTGGATATAAGCAACTACAGGTCTTGGTTTTACAATTAATTTACCACTTTAGAATGGATGTCATTCACTCTACTTTTAATGGGCCAAATTCCCTTTCATTGAAGACTTACAACCATAAATTTGATTAATATAGCAGTATTCATAGATTTATTCATGCTAACTATTCCAAAACTTGTTTTTGTACTGGTTTAATGGCTGCGCCAGCCTTTACCCACGAAGGGGTTCAAGAAATTTGTAATTTTTAAATGATGTCTATGAAGGCTGTAATTACTTTTAAAAATATATGAAAAGAGCTGTTAAGAATTTTCTTTAATGGTAAATTGATCAGTTATTATTTTGTTAATTAAGAACAAATAACTGGTCCATGTGACATTTTGAGAAAGTGGGTATGTATTTGATAACACAAAGCAGAGAAGCTGGAGGGTGAAGGTGATCAGTGCACCAAAGAAAGACATGCAAAGCAGAGAAGAACAGAAATGGAACACAAGAATTATCACAAGAGGACACAAATCACTGTAGAGATTAGATTTTCTGTTTGACAGAAAGAGGGGTAGGTGCTCTTAGAGATACTGTGTGAACTCGCTGAAAAGGTTTAAATGTGAATAGTTTAAAGATGCTATAGTGCTGGTGTTTTTCCAGAATTGATCAAATAACAAACTGGTCTGTTGTTGGTTTATTGAGAAGGAACTCTGGAAAAATACACCATTAGGTCTTTTGTGGCCCAAGGGAGAGAAAATTCATAAAAGTGTATTTTGCTGATGATAATCATATCCACGAAGATCAAAGATGAAGACTTTGCTAGTTAAACTCCTGATCTATCTGTTGTGAATAAAGAACAGCATATTGTTTGTGTGAGAAGTGATGTGGATGCTTGGCCTGTAAGACATATATCTTTGATACATCAACTGTTTTAAAGTGAAATCTTTCTTTTTTTTTATTTGAAGTTTCATTCACCTGTCATTTCATGTTTATTTATGTTAATTCGGATTTATGTTAAAGTACAAGTTACAAAAAGTGAAACCTTTTCGGTGATTTCTTCTTGGGGGGATTATTTGGTAAGTTTTTTTTTGCTTTGCAGTTCCCCAGAGGTCACTAACAAGTGAGACAAAACAAAATCATGATCTGAGAGTTTCAGCAATATAAAGACATTGGATTTTGTACGTTTTACTGATTTGAGGCGTTTTTAGTGATTTTATTTTGGTTCCTGTAGTTAATGGAGATTTAATTTGGAGCTGTGTACTGGTTTATTCACCTAAGCAACGCAAAAGGGAATGTACTGGTAGGATGTTAAATATAATTAGATCAACAAGATATGGTAGTATTTAATAGCTTTAATGTTGTTGTAATTTCTTCAAGCACTTTAATGATGTTTCTCATTTTTATTGGTTAGTTAGAATCCAGACTATACAAGTTTTGACTTCAAAACAATTTGACTGATTCAAGAATGGCATTGTCATTCCACTCCTGGAAATTCCTCTTTCTATATTTGGCTGCAGTAGTTGTGGTGTAGGTGGACGGAGGCTGATGTATATTATAATCATTATTCTGGCATCATTATAGAATTGTTTGCAATAGCAGGAAATTTGCTTGATTAAAATCTTAATACATGGGAGGAATAGTGTCTAAAGATCGGCTTTAAGTTGACTGGCTGAAGAACTACAGGTGACATGAGAAGATATTCTTTCAGGCATTCTGTGGTTAGGGTATGGAATACACAGCATGTGGGTTGATGAAGACAGATTCAATCAGGGTTTTCAAAAGATAATTGGATAAACACCTGAAGAATTTTTTAAAATGTAGAATTATGGGAAAAAGGGCTGGAGAGCATTACTACAGAACCGCTTTTGCAGAGACAACTTGTACTCAACAAGCTGAGTGGCCCCCTTCTGTGCTGTAAGCTTTCTATGATTCCCAAGGTTGTTTATCATTAGCAGACTAATTTCAGCAGTATTCTCCATATGCTGTTGCCTACTCTGGCAATGAAAGCAATCAGCCTACCAGAAGAGTCAAAAAATTAGATAGCCACTTTTAGAATATATTTTACTGAATTCACAAGTTTATTTTAAAGTAACTGTCTTTTGAAATAATTTCAAAATGCATGCATCAAAGCTCTCCACTTTTTTTGCAATACCAGCATAATTCATTTTGCTATAGTTTTTGAAAACTGTTTTTCAGATTTGATTCTTTATCTAGGTGTGCAGATAGAAAGTGTTTGATTTTTGTTCCCACATCCTTCCCACACAGAGGCCATCTCCACAGAATAATACTTCTCCCCTTTTTGCACTCTTTCATTTAAAGTTGAGATCAGGTTTTACATATATTGAATATTCACTGTTGGCACAGCCCAGTCTCTTTCCATTTTATAACACTTTTCACAATTACATACCAATCCAAGTACTTGATGACCTGAGGAGATATTAATTTGTGTGTTAACATTTATTACATTTTAGTAACTGGACAAATCATGTTTAAATAATTCAACTTCAGTGACTAATTCTGAACTCTTGAAGCGTAGGGGAATTTGTGTTAATTTTTTTCTTCAGCTGAAGAGTTCATTAGTGAAAATTATGATGCTTTACCTTCCAATGCCCTTGTCACCTGTGAATGGTAAAGAACTTGGCTAATAAAGTCTTGTTCAGGAAAACATAAATTCAGTAATTCTTTATTCCTTACCATATTTTGGTTAAAATGTGACAATATACATATTTCTTTAAAAATTGCTTTTGTTTCTAATCCAGGAGCACTTGTATGTTCAAGATATTTAAGCTTCTTAATATTGTGAAGATGTGGTTTTTGTCATTTTTTGCCTAGACTTTATCTAGCATATTTTTCTATGTGAGAAATTAAAGTGATCTCATGGCTTGTTATGCCTATTTCAGAGTCTCTCAGAAGCAAACATGGAGCTAAGAAGAAAAGATCAATCTTTACATCAGCTGAACAAAAATCTAGCCCAGCTGGAGCAGGACAAACGTCAACTTGAGGAGAACATCCATGATGCAGAAAATGCCCTCTGCAAGGCAGCAAAGTGAGCATGGAACTTTTGTGGTGGTGGTGGGTGGGGATGATGCAGGCACATACTTAAATAAGCTAGGATCAATTCAGGTACTCAGAGGGTGTTAGTCAAATAATGAGGGTAAAGTTTAAAACATATGGTGGAATCCACATTTGAGAATTATAAATTCAGTGATCCTCTCCATTGAAGGGATCTCTGAAACTGCAACCTTGCAGAATTGTAAGCTTCAAAGGTAATCTTATTTATTGAATCAAATGGTGATCCATTGGTGATACAAGGTGCTTTATTGCATATATCTTCAGCAGTTAACATTCTTTAATTTGTTAAAATACACAGTGGTTGATTTTTGCACCCTTTGCCTGCCATCAAGGGGATGATACCAGCCTTGCAATGTTGTCAATTGCATTGCCCTCTTTGTTAACACCAAAGCAGTGATTAGCTCCATTTGAACAGCCCACCCGCCTGGTGTCCGGAACAGAGATAGTAGGAACTGCAGATGCTGGAGAATCCGAGACAACAAGGTGCAGGGCTGGATGAACACAGCAGGCCAAGCAGCATCATAGGAGCAGAGAGGCTGACGTTTCGGGCCTAGACCCTTCATCAGAATTAGTGCTGCTGAGCTGCTCGTGGTGGTGGACATTGATGTTCCCCACCCAGACAGCGTTCTTTGCTCATGCCTTTCTCAGTTCTTTTTTCCAGTCGGTGTTCCACATGGAGGAGCACTGACTCATCAGCAAGTAGGCTTTGGATATGGTAATCAGCAGGAGGTCTTCTTGTCCCTATTTGACCTGATGCCATGAGACTTCATGCGGCC